GGCTGGCTGGCTGGCTAGCTCGCTCGATAGAAGGCCGGCAGGCTGGATAACGGGCTGGATGGCTGGCTAGCCAGTTAGCTGGCTAGCGGGCTAGCTAGCTGGGGGTCTAGCTAGCTAGCTAGCTAGCTAGCCAGTTGGCTGGCTAGCGGGCTAGCTAGCTTGGGGGCTAGCTAGCTAGCTAGCTAGCCAACTAGCCAGCTAGCTGGCTACTGACAGCTGCCCAGCCAGACAGCTAGCCAGCTGCCCGGCCGTTCTCAGCCGCCTGAATAGCTAGCTAGCCAGCTAGCTGACCAGCTAGCTAGTCAAGTAGCTAGCCAGCTAGCTAGCCAGCTGGCTAGCTGGCCAGCTGACCAGCTAGCTAGCCAAAACCTCACCAGCTACCCAGCTACCCAGCTACTCAACTACCCAGCTACCCAGCCAGCCACCCAGCTAGCCAGCTAGCCAGCTAGCTAGCTAGCTAGCTAGCTAGCTAAGGCCTACCGACGCCATCAAGAAGGCCCGCAGCTCTGGCTTTTTTGCGAAGCTGGTCTGCAGGAATGGAAGCATTTATAAATTCATCTCGAATGTAAAAGAACTGCTCCTTCGGAGTCGCCCCGGGGACCTTGTCCGCCAGCTGCAGCAGCAGCAGCAGCAGCAGCAGCAGCAGCAGCAGCGCAGCAGCAGCAGCAGCAGCAGCAGCAGCAGCGCAGCAGCAGCAGCGCAGCAGCAGCAGCAGCAGCAGCAGCAGCAGCAGCAGATGGGTTTTTGTTTGGAGGCGGTTCGTTCAGTCAAGCATTATTTACTTATTTACCTATTTATTCATCTATTAATTTATTTATTTACTTATTTATTTATTTTTTGTTTATTTATTTGGATTTGTTTCATTCGCCTTTTTATCCCGAATAGAATTAATTATTTGTTTCGCTGCATTTCCACTTGAGCGTTTTCTGCTGCTGCTCTAACTCAAAACCCCTCAACACCTTTGCTGCTGCTGCTGCTGCAGCAGCAGCAGCAGCAGAAAGTGCGTTGGAGAGCTGGCGAAAAGGCGGGAAGAAGGGGCGTTGAAGCTGGAGGGTCCAGCGGCTGCTGTGTGGGGCAAAGCGCGTCAAAAGAAGGAGAAAAAGAAAAGAAAAGAAAAAGAAAATAAAAGAAAATGAATTTCTCACAATTTGGCGGACAGTGTCGAGAGTCTCCCAGCCCTCGACGGTGGCACTGTAGACTTTGTCGTCGCGGAGGTCTGTGGCTTCGACTTTGATTTTCATTTTTAAGAGGAAAGGCAAAAAGTGGAAAAAAAAGCCGCCAAAGAAGCTGCTTTCGCCGTTTTCAGCCCCCAACGCGCAACTCGAGCTCTATTTGACACTTCTCCACCTTTTACTTCTTCAAATTCGCCCTAAATGCTCCAATTTGATCTCAAAAACTCTCAAAAACCCCCAAATTCAACTCGCGGCGAGCGCTCCCGTACACCGTGGGGCTGCTGCTCGCCGCGGACGCCCGGCGACGGACCGACCGGAGGGGCTGGCGGCCCGAATTTGGACTTTAAAGCCCGCTAAGAAGCCTCGAAATGTCTTTTAACTCAAAAATGAAGTCTTTAAATTCAAAAATAAACTCTTTTGAGCCTTTCGGCGGCGAAATCCGCGCAGGAACGCACCCCGAACTCTCCGGTGTACGGACACCCCAACCCTACACTGCACCACCGGTCCAAATGCTTGCCCGCCGCCGTTCGCTTCCAAAACAACGGAAAGAATATCTTTGGGGATTTCTTTTCAACTTTATCTATTACTAAAACTCATTTTAATCCATTTAAACGCAAATTCCCCGATTTTCAGCGCCGGCTGGCGCTGTACACACAGCAGCAGCAGCGCAGCCACGGCTCGCCCACGCAGTCACTCCAGAAGCTGCCGTTATTAAACCCTTTTAATACTCCTCTTCTTCTTTTTGTTCTTTTTATTTTAATTTTAAATTAAATTAATTATTTTAAATTAAAATTCAAAAAAATGAAGGAGAAGTGTCCGTACACCCCAGCGCCGCTCCTCGTTGCCGTGCGTTTGCAGCAAAACGAAATAAAGTTTAATGCAATAGCATTAATAAATTAATTTAATAATAATAATAAATAATAACAATAATAATAGAAATAATATAAACAAATTAAAAGAAATGGCTAAGGGTCATAAAAAGACAGAATTCAAATCCCTATACACTGCAAACTTGAGTCGCTGAAATTCGAAAATCTAATGGGCCTTCAATTCAGGTGTACGTACACCTCGGCGAAACAAATGCAAAATATAAACTTTAAGGATGGCAGCAGCAGCAGCAGCAGCGTTAACAGCAGCAGCAGCATTGACAGCAGCAGCAGCATTAACAGCAGCAGCAGCATTAACAGAAGCATTAACAGCAGCAAGAGCAAATGCAGCAGCATAAACAGCAGCAGCACTGACAGAAGCAGCAGCAGCAAAAACTGCAGCAGCAGCAACAGCAGCAGTTCCTTGCTTTGTGCGGCAAAGAGTCAAAAACAAACAAGAAACACTTGAAAAGAAAAAAGAAATAAAAATAAATAAAAATGGAAAAGAAATTAAAGGAAATAAAACAAATAAAAAGAAATTAAAAGAAATTAAAATTTAAAAAGAAAACAAAAATTAAAAAGACAACGGAAGACAGGAGCTGCAGCTGTGGTCCATTTCAAGTCGAAGAGAAAATTTAGAAAACATTTTAATTATAAATAAATAAATAAATAAATAAATAAATAAATGAATGAATGAATAAAATAATAAATAAATGAAACAATAAATAAATTAAAAAAATAAACAGATAAATAAATAAATAATAATAAATATAAAAATAGGATGAAATAAAAAGTAAAAAATAAACAAATAAATAAATGAAAACTAAATAAACTGACAGACAGCTAAGTAGATCCGACAAACTTTAACAAATAAATAAATAAACAAATAAATAAGTAATAAATAAAAATAAACTAACTAGCTAAACAAATAAAAAAAGTAACAAACTAAATAAATAACCAATAAATAATAATAGTAAATCAATTAAAAACAAAACAAAGATCTAATAAATAAATTATAAATTGCTTTTTTGGTTTTTTAAAAAAAATGGAGATGAATCAAAGACAAAAAGACAAATGAATAAAAAGAAAAAGAATTAAAAGAATAAAAGGAAATAAAGATATAAAATAAAATAAAAAGAAATAAAATAGAATTAAATAAATTAAATAAAGAATTAATAAATAAAAGAGAAATAAATAAACAAAAGAAAGAAAGAGAGAAAATTAATCGCCAAATGAGACAGAGATAAAACGAAACAAATACAAAGCAGCAGCAGCAGCAGCTGCTGCTGCTGCTGCTGCTGTTGCTGCTGCTGCTGCTGCAGCGCGGCCCCAGAACAAAAGAGGCCGACAAGCGTGGACGCCACTTCATTTATTTAATCAAATTGATTTAATTTAATTACTTTAATTTA